ATGGTTAAAATCCTTACTTTATCTATGCTTTTGCACTGAGCAGAACAAAGTAAGACTAGGCTAGCAGCATAAAATGGCATTTTCAACATGTCATCAACACTTATAATTGTGTTGTCCATCCTCTCCATGGAAAACACAATTATATGAGAAGTTCCTAAAGACTTGAAAGGGTTTATTCTCAGCAGGAGTTTGGAAACAAGCAAACTCTAAATAAGTGCACTGATCATATTAATTAAACAAGAACAATAAAAAAGGCCGCTAGGAGCTATGTCCTATTTAAATGCCTCTAATTTCTTTTTACGGTAATTCTATTTACTCAAATGAACAAACTCTGCTCTAGTGATAGACTTTCCACCTCTCCTCTGTGGTAACAAAAGAACTAATGTAATTTTGTTTTTACTTTCTAATTATCCTTATTGTGCTTCCCCTTCGTTGAATTTAACAAACCAAGTCACTTTGAATTTCAGCAAACTGAAGGCTGTATTTTCTTGTAATTAGACTAATAAGCTGTCTAAAATGGGCGCCTGTGATTTAAATGCAAAGTATGTAGCTGTCGGTTCTCTACTTGTTGCATAGGAACAATATTACAACAAGGCTTTACTTTTCTTAAGCAATGGCTTCCCACTCTGTCATTGCCTATTGCGAGTCATTCAGTGGACAGGAGAGTTTTGAGTTAGACACATGGACACACCACACGATACATAGGCCTACAAATAGCTCATGTTCAGTGGGGTTTATGAAGCAGATTTTTTTGTTTTCTGAGAAAGAATATGAGTGGAGTTTGCCAGTGCATAAGTCAACACCATTATGCTAAGGTGGTTGCTTTCTGTTGATCAGATCCAACAAACATGAGCAATAGCCCAGCTAACAGGGAACGTTCTCAGAACTTTCTGGCAAGGTTCTCTCAAAGTTATGAATCAAAGATTCAGTAATGCTAACAGAAAAAGTTATCTATTTTTCATGATGTTCCCAAAATGTTAGCGCAAAAATGTAATTTATACATTGTTCATGGAACATTGTGTCCTGAAATGTCTTTTTTAAATGTTACTATTTTTTTCCCAGAAAGTTCAGAGAACATTAAAAAATAACCCTTACGAAAATGTACCATGGTTTTACTACAATTGTAGTTAAACCATGGTAACCACAAATTAACCATGGTTTTGCTACTGTGGTTATAAAACTGGCAATCAATCTGCCAAAAAACATCGTTACGCCACTTTTACTATAATAAAATCATGGTTAATTTTCATAACGTTCTCATAATGTTTGCAAAATAATAAAAATTGAATATTCTCGTAACGTTTTTATAACAAAGAATTTATTTATTTATTTTTAAAATATGTAATAAATTGCATATTTTGATCGTTCAGAGATCATTCAGAAATAACAGTTTCATAACTTAATGGGAATTTTTGTTAGCGGAAGTGATGCTGTCTTAAAGCCATAATAATAAAACAAAAATGGGTAACACTTTAGAATACTGTTTCTTACTTACTGCATAACTAATAAGGAATTACTGAAGAACTAATAGGTAATTCTTTATTAACTTGACTTAAGTCACTACTGTTAACTACTAAGGAAGATGTGTTAACTAATCAGTATGTAATGGAATTTTATGATTGTGTTAAGTATCAGTTAGTTAATCAATAACTAATTAATTCTGTCATACTTCCTGAAGAAATACTATTAATTATGGTTCAAGAAAAATAACTATGAAGTAACTACTAATGAACAGTCATACACAGTTACTACAATAATCCGTTTTATTTTAGCAGTGGAGTGGTGAATGAAGTACACAAATCAAGTACTTGAGTAAAAGTACAGATACCACAATAAAATATTACTCCAGTAAAATTATAATTAGGCCTATTCATTTTCAAAATTACCTTAGTAAAAGTACAAAGGTAATTCATTTTTAAAGAAGTAAAAAGTTTTAGTCATTCTTCAGCTCTAATAAGAAATATAAGTGCAGACATTTACTAGGATATATTGATCTGCAAATAACTTTTTATTTCATTAGCAAAACTTATCATAATGTACATTACAGTCATAGTGTTTTTTTTACAGTAAGTCAGAAGTATGTGGTAATTCTTTATTAATTACTAATGGGTTCCCTATATTTTCACTTTAGAATACTGTTTCAGGTTCTAAGTAATTCCTGAAGAATTATCTAATAATTCTTTGTTCTAAAGTGAAAATATAAGGAAATTAATTGTTAATTAATACTGTTTCAGGTTATCAGTTGCCTAATTCCTGGATAATTATTTGATCATTCTTTATTAATTATTAATGGGTTCCCTATATTTTCACTTTAGAATACTGTTCCAGGTTTTAAGTAATTCCTGAAGAATTATCTAATAATTCTTTATTAATTAACAATTAATTTCCTTATATTTTCACTTTAGAACACTGTTTCAGGTTATCAGTTGCCTAATTCCTGGATAATTATTTGATAATTCTTTATTAATTATTAAGAGGTTCCCTATATTTTCACTTTAGAATACTGTTCCAGGTTCTAAGTCATTCCTGAAGAATTATCTAATAATTATTTATTAATTACTTGATTTCTTACATAACACACTCACAAAACCACACAGGCAAACATTTAACTTTAACATTATATGTATTTGTTAAAATTGCTACTTCTATTAATAACATTAGTGAATAAGAAAGGTCACAACTCAATGTAGTTTTGTATGACTGTTCATTAGTTACTTCTTAATTATTTTTCCTGAACCTTAATTAGTAGATAATTAGTAGTAGTTCTTCAGGAGGTATGACAGAATTCATTAGTTATTGATTTACTACTGTTACTTAACACAGTCATAAAATTCTGTTACATACTGATTAGTTAACACATCTTACTTAGTAGTTAACAGTAGTGAAGAAGTAGTTAATGAAGAACTACCTATTAGTTCTTCAATAATTCCCTATTAGTTATGCAGTAAGTAAGAAACAGTATTCTAAAGTGTTACCCAAAAATGTACTGTCTTAATGAAGTGTTGCCTGTACAGGTGTAGTATGCTTTGCTCCTAACTTTTGATTTCTTACTGAGATGTTACAGTTATCACGTTGAAAGTGCAATTTATAAGTGGTGTGGATGTGTGCCATTTTTAAACAGGATGAGTTTTATAATAAAGCGCTTCTGCCATCTACTGGTTCCTTTCTCTGTATTCGTGTAGAAATAGATATAATAGTAGCTTACTCATTATAGTAGCTTACTTAAGTCATTTAAATTGTTAAATTGTTGATATATACTCATAGAAAAACATTTATGTTCATATTAGCTCTTGAAAACTGTTTTGTGAGTGTGTGTCTACTCAACCATATTTTGGTGTTTGTGTGTGTGTGTGTGTGTGTGTGTGTGTGTGTGTGTGTGTGTGTGTGTGTGTGTGTGTGTGTGTGTGTGTGTGTGTGTGTGTGTGTGTGTGTGTGTGTGTGTGTGTGTGTGTGTGTGTGTCCTCACAAGGATAATAAAACCTGGATTTTTTTACATTGTCGGATAAATTTTTTTGTTGCTATGAAGAAAACAAATGTATAAATCATGCTAAATTTTAATTTAAAAAAACACTAAATGTTTTTAAATGTCATTTTAATTTTATTTTAATAAGATGTTTCTGTATAATGTTTTTTTCCCTAAATGTCTATGTAGGCCTACTTCAACTTATTTTACATTAGTTGGCAATGCAACATTTCTTCCTTTTTAAGTTTTTTAATTGTAAGTTTTTAAGTAAGTCTTTTCATGTAATGTTTATATTTTATTTCAGCTTTATTTAATGTTTTTATAGGTATTTGCTAGGTTTAGTTTTATAGTTAACAACAACAACAACATAACATTAGCTAGTAAAGGCATTAAAGTTATTGCTTAAAATTTAAAATAATGACCAGTTACAGGACATAAGATATACAACAGAAAGCTGCTTGGTTTGAAAGTGAAAGTTTGAAATTTAACTGAAATTTCTCTAATGGTCACATCTCAAGACTAAATTGAGACAGAATTCTATTGGAGGCAAATGTTTGCTATTTCCTCAGATAACATTATGAATATGGCTAATGTCTGTGTTTTCATATGGCATGAGGCGGGCTTACGGGATGTTGACAGGGAAATACCTCAGCTGTGGTCTGAGACCCCCTTCAGTTCCTGTCTCTGTGGTGCCTCCAGGTCAAGAGAAGGAAAAGAAACATACGGCCTCTCACTGAATGAATAGACTACTTGTTCAGGAACAACTATTCATTTTTTTCACCTTAAAGAGTATTTAAAATCATAATAGCCGATCAGAAAAGATTAATATGCAAGAGTTTCACAAGTCACCTTTAGAGACCCCAAAGCCATTGTATTACCTCAAAAACATACTAAACTGTAAAGTACTGGTTTTAGGTTGATACTTCTTGACTTTCATGTGTGAATGTAGGCTACATATGACTTTGTGATACAACCAGGTTACATTTTTAAATCACTTCCTGTTCAAATGAAAAGAAATTTACTTATTCTGACTGGTCAGATTTACATTTAGTGTAAAAAAAATGTGGATGCTATTTACACTGGGTGTAAGTAGATGTTGTTGTGGACCAAGCATATTGTTTACCGTACATTGTTTTCACACGTGCAAATAGTGATAGATAGCCTATAGTAGCCTACTACTGTCGTCACACTACAGTGTGAATATAGGCTAATATGCTGTTTGTTCTTAACATCTGAGCAATGGTGAGTGGAGTCAGTGAGCTTTGCACTCAGATGAAGTTTATCATTAGGTGTGTTGCCACGTGGTACATGTTAGTTTTCTCATCGCTGATCTGGAAGGATCAATCACAGTCGTTTGTGATTAGACGGTGAAGCAATGCATAAAACAGATTATTGGGCGGATTTTAATTTATGTATCAGTTATTAATCCTCGAAATCTAAGTATAGCCTACATATCTACCTTCAATGATACACGTCCCGAAGTTTGAACACTGGTCTATAGATCTTCCTTCGTTGTCACGCGCCCCCTGCAGGAAGACAGAATAGTCTCCTTCTCTTAGAAAAAGTTATTAGTTGGCAACAGTTGGATCAGAGCAGGCGCGCGTACGCTGTAAACCTCTGGAGTTTAGCAATGATGGTTAAAATACTGCCTCAGCTTCTCATTTGCTTTTGGATAACTTTGCCATTCTGTTTCGCCGAAAAGGCTAAAGAAAGGAGCACCCGGCAAAGAGACGCGGAGTTTACTGACAAGGTAGGCTAAGATACGTTTTAAAGAAATGTTAAAATGCAAACCCAGGTCAAAGATAGGGAAGATGCATCGTACCAGATGATAAGTATTTTATTGTCCCCTTCTTGTAATTTTTCAAATGTGTTTGAGATAGTCAGGCTGATTCGGAAAGATGGAAGTAGACTTCATTTGGATAAAAGACTAAATTATGCCCTTGTTAAAGTGGCTTTTTTCCCCTGTAATTTGATTTTCTGTTCTCCGTTACGTATGATTAGTTTGATTACGTTTGATTGAAAATTTCAATAAAAGTTTAGCTATAGGGGAAAGGCAGAATTCAGCCTCTTATGGATTCAGGGAATAGGTTAATAATTAAATAATTTTAGTATTGTGTTGCTTTTTTTTTGCTCTAACACACACACACACACACACACACACAGAGACACATACTCGGTTTCGCTAAATTTGTGGGGACTCGCCACAGGCGTAATGATTTACTTTGCAAACTGTATTTTCTATTCCCTAGCCCTACACATCACAGAAAACCTTCTGCATTTTCAAAAAAATATGATTTAGTATGTTTATTAATCCATTTCCTCACAATGTAGGTGATCTCAGGTTTTTCATTTGGTCCCCGAAATGTAATATAAACCTACACACACACACACACACACACACACACACACACACACACACACACACACACACACACACACACACACACAAAGCCCCACTGTTTGTCAATTGGTGTGTTAACAATGGCTTCCCAGACAGTAACATAGTGTTGGCCCAGATCCGGCCCACATCTGGTACGCATGGAATCCACATGTAGCCTATGTGGTCCGGATCTGGGCCGACGCAATGTTGCTGCTGGCTTGTAGTGATGTTCGAATCGCTAACTAGCCAAAAACTTTGAATGGGAGCCAGAATTGGTTGATGTGTTGTAACCATAAACAACGCAAGAGCTTACGCATGATGTGTAGACCTAAACTAATCTAAAATTATTGTCGGACGGTAATTAAACATCAACGGTTGAAAAAATCGTCTCTAAAGAACCAGCTTTTTTAACTGTTTGATTGAAACAAATAGAATAGAAAATTCTGACTAGCCTATGGCCATACCCTCAAGTAACTCTTTATAGAAAATTCTACATGCGGTAGATTTATTTCGTGAACACAGTTTAATCTATTGAATGAATGAAAATATGTATAACGTGGTAAAATGGACCAACAATAGTATGCAAACCACACACAAACCTTTCAAGTCAAATTTATTTGGCTATATGCAAATAAATAAAGTCAAATTAATAATAAGATGATGATAATAATAATAATAATATAATAAAACAGTGATAACAATATACTGAATACCGTGATTGCTGAACTGAACAATCCAAAATGTAATGAATGAATGAATAAATAAATAAATAAATGAAAATCAAGATCCACCTATCTTTATTCACTGGTAAGAGTTCCACTCAATTAATTTAGTTTAATCTGATTCATTCAGCTGCTCACTGGAGCAGAAACTTTGGTAAAGTGGTGACAGATGCTTAAATTGAAATTATGTTCATTTCCACAATGGCCAAGTGTGATCAAGATGACCTTTGCATTTAGTACACTTCTTGGTGAATTTTGAAATGCTTTTGGTTGGCTAACTTTAAAACGCAAGCGAGTAATATCTAACCAAACAAAAAACTTTGCACATTCTTATCAGCGGATGCAAACAAACCACACCACTAAGACTCATTTGGATTTATTATGTCCCTCTGGTGTTTATACATATGGGTATGATTCCATAAAACCTCAGAGAGATGCCCTTGGTCTGTAAAACCACTGCAAGGCAATAGAGAACTGTCATTATTGAAAACCCCCAAGAAAGTGGATTAAATTTACTCACTGGATGAAAACTCAAGAAATCTGACAAAGACTAAAGGCCAGTTCAAACCAAGGACGATAACCAATGATAAAGATATTGTTTTAAATATAATTCAAAATGTATAAGCATAGCAGAGTCCACTTCACCACTATAATAAAAACTGCACTTTATTTTCTATCAAAATTCTGTCATAATTTACTCACACTCAAGTTGTTCTAAACCTGTATGACACAATAGAAGATAAATGTTGGTAACCAAACAGTTGATGGGCCCCAATGACTTCTATAGTAGGCCTATGCAAAAAAAAAAAAAAACTACGGAAGTCAATGGGGCCCATCAACTGTTTGGTTACAGTCTTTCTCTTTAAAATAATTATCTTCTTTTGTGTTCAGCAGAAGAAAGAAATTCATACAGGTTTGGAACAACTTGAGGTTGAGTATTTTTGGGTGAACTATCCCTTTGAATCAAGTGAACAGGCTGTGACTGTGGTCAGGGGATTTAACACAAGTTCTTCATCCAATTTTATGTTTTCATTGTTTTTGCCATTTCGGCACAAATGTATCCGTCTTCAAGAACGGTTCATGGTTCTCTCCCACCCACAGCAGACTGTGCATCATGGTGAATCACTGTCATCCTCATTAACAAGCCAAAATACTCTGAAAAGTACTGAAATAGTTCCATACCTCTTTTCTTCATGTTTTTGTCATTAGTACCAGCCATGCGTGCAGGGTGTACCTGGAGTGCAAGGCAGGGATGGGAACCCGGGGATAAATGGCATTCCAGGAACACCAGGAATCCCTGGGAGAGATGGATTTAAAGGCGAGAAGGGAGAGTGTGTGACAGAAAGGTTTGATGATCCCTGGAAACCTAACTTCAAACAGTGTGCTTGGAATTCATTAAACTACGGCATTGATCTAGGCAAAATAGCTGTAAGTATTATGTTCTTAAAGGAAGAGCTATTCAACTCCCTTATATTCTCTGAATGTACTTTGCTCATGTGTGCTCAGTTTTGCTGCCATGTTGTTTTGAACCAGTCATAAATGGTATGTGACTAATGACTCTGGAGCCTCAGGAAATGACATCACAACACTGATTGGCTGATGGCCCTGCAATAACATAAACAGAAAACCTTCGCTAGTGAAAAAGCTATAAGAAGGGGCTAACAGGGCCATGCCAGCCAAACTTTAAGCTTACGAATGTCACATTTCGATGGTAATATGAATAAATAATGAATGTATGGGTATATCAACAAAACAAAAAACAAATGACAACCAATATGTTTGAAAAACTAACATTAACTGATGGGACCTTACTGTAAAGAGTTACCCAATTTTTTTATAATTATAAAAAAAATACTTATTTTATACTTATTATTGGTAGTTCTCATCTCAAGTTCTGAGAATACATCATTGACCGGACAGTCACAAATGGTCTAGCGGCAAAAGTTCAAATATTAGCACAACCAAAGCTCAAATTGGACCTGAAAATTCTGCATGCGCATATGATCGGAACTCCATGCTGCTCTCATACTACTATACACTGGAAATGAATGGCTTCCGTCATTTGTTGGAGATGAAAAGTTAAAAGGATGACATCTGTGTTTGGACAAACAGTTAGCCCTGCCCCAAACTCACACCATTGGTTGAGCCAGAAGATAATATGTTAGACTGCTCAAACAAACACAACAATGTTTTGAAAGTGCTACTGTGTTTGCAGTCTTCAGGAAATCAGCTGACAAATCAAATGGATTGGAAGCATTTTAACATCCCAAAAAAATGACACACTTCGCCTTTAACCTCAATGGTAAGGCTTTAAACGTGAGCGCTGCAGTGATGATGAAGTTTAGGTCAAACTGTAAGTTTGCATTAGCCTGGTTCCCTCGACAAAAACTAGGGATGCACCAATACCACTTTCTCCAGAACGACTCCGATACCGATTCTTACATTTTTAATGCTTGCGGATACAGAGTACCAATACCTGTATTTTCACTGCATTTGTAATTTTTTAATGTATTGGGTAGAGAAACCAAAAGAATATGAATCATATTAATCTATTCTATTGCTGTATCATATTTTATCTATCATTTAATAGCACAGCACATATTTAGAGCTGCTTCAGCAGGACTCAGTGCTGAGGATTGGGTCAGTGGTTCAAATGTTTAGATACCAGTGAAATATCACAATTCTCTATTCCAATTTAGATACAGCAAAAACTACTAGCCTAATTAATGTGAATTTAAAACATTACTAAAGACATTCAGTAATAAAATATGAAGAACAAATAATCAAATTATAAATAGGACAAATAAATTCAATAGAACAAAGTAATTAAATGAGAAATATCACTGCTTATTCATTACTGTATAAATTAAATATAGATAGATCTTTATAAAGTTACAAAAGGTATTTAGTCAAGAGCAGTGAGTGATTTCTTTGTAGGTTTATTAGGCTGCTGTCCCTTTAAGAGTAAGACTTAAAGTCCCACTCCGATCATATTTTGAGCTATTTTTAAACATTCCCAGTGGTCTTTAAATTATGATTATGCCATTTTTAGCCAAAATCACAAAACCTGTGCCGTTTTCTGGGACTTCGCTTCAGCAGAGCGGCAGTAGCTCATTAGCAATTCGCCTCTGCGTTGTGGGCGGAGCCGTTGGCAGAGCCGTTGGCACGGAGACGACCCTCCCCCTGCCCGTTGCTGAGAGCTCTGTCTCTCCCGCTAGCTTACACCCCCAATACCGGTGGGGCAACAGTATTATATACACGTTAATTATTATTATCCGAAGTTAATCAAAGTCATCACCGATCACCGATCATTATTTCACTCCAAGACGTCGCGTGTGGAGACGCCCAGTGGAGTTACTACGTCACAACTCCAGTCTATTTTAGCCGGCATTTTAGCGTCTGCTACTGATTCACAGCCATTTGAATGTAGAAATACTCAGAAATACAACTTTGAGCTTATTTTTCTCAAGATATGTCCTCTAACATCAGAAAAATGCCACAAGAACATGTTAACACCTAGAAAAACATTATTTTCATCGGATTGGGTCTTTAATGCACGGGTACAATATGCATACTGTCTACGTGCAGTTGAGATGTAACCGACTATGTTTATTAGGATACTCGCCAAGACGGGGGATTTTATATCATTTTATGTGAATTTGTCCGTACCAAGCACAAGACGTGAAAGAGAATTCAATTCAGTATTCGCGCGCTGTCTGAGACCCGTGTTTTCGGGGCGCGCGCTACGGTACGGATGTTTGCGTTCATGAAACTTCTTGAACTGCAAACGTCCTATAATAATGTAGGGATCCAATCGTTTCCAACCTGCAATAGAAGTGCTCTCTCTCGCTCTCTCGCTCTCTCTACCGCCAGTTAACATTAATAATACATGCCTCGTTTTACTTTCTTTGCCATTGACATCCGACTGAACTGCAAACTTTCCATGCACTGATGTCCATGAAAAAGGGATGTGGTTGACAAGCTCATCCCTAACAAAAACCCAATAGGATTTTTTTCATTGGCTTTTGGATTATTGCAGAAAATAAGTAATGTGACCAACAAAAGTTTATGATTCTTACACAATTTGTTCATCAAGATAATCTTCACAAATGAACACATTTTTGAAATACAATCACCAGAAGTTAAAAGTAAAATGTAGCCTATAAACAAAGCACGCTACATTCGCATGACTTCAGCGTCACCATCACTAAGCTTCCGACAGTTCTTTCAGACTTTCTTTAAAAACAATTTCTCTGAGAGTTTGAGTTAGAATAGTTTGCATAAACATATAATAAACATCATAAGGCTGTGAAAGCAGACTGGCATGAGGATGTTTAATGTCTCAGACAACCTCTGTAGTCCCATTTAGACACTTGTTAGCAACTGCCTTTATCGAGACAAGTAAAAGCTTTAAAAAATGACAAGTGGTGTGTTACTGATGTATTTTATGTCATGGACTAACATGTGAAAATATGTTGAGTTTGGATTAAACACAGACCTCATTTCAGGCATTTTACCAAAAATCCATTCAAAAAACCCATTGACTTCAAGGCGCCGGAACAGGAAGTGGTAAAATGAAATTTGTTTCTGAGATTTAGCCTACATTAATACATGCAGCAGCAGCACTCTATTGTTGCCAACCCAAAATAGTCTATAACATATATTATACTATAGACATATAGGTTGCCTCTTCAGACATTCATTCAGCGATTTAACAATGGAAAATGTCTTGATTTCTCTGTCACAGGAGTGCACATTCACCAAGCAGCGTCCAGACAGTGCTCTGCGTGTGCTGTTCAGCGGTTCGCTCAGGCTTAAGTGTAAGACGGCCTGCTGTCAGCGCTGGTACTTCACCTTTAATGGGGCAGAATGCACTGGACCGTTACCCATAGAATCCATCATTTACCTGGACCAGGGCAGTCCTGAACTCAACTCCACCATAAATATACACAGGACGTCCACAGGTATCATTTACAAACTATCTGCATCCTTTATGTTTTATCTGATCTGCAAGATAAGGTCATTTTTTTGTTTTTGTTTAAGTCAGTAAATTGCAAAAATGATACAAATTTTACATAGACAAATAAGATAAACACTGCTTAGACACTTAAAAAGAAACTTAACATGTTAAAATGTATCTGTGCATTAGAAATATTGTAAAATGTTGCCAATAAAATTAACATATTTCAAACTTATTCGCTTGGATCTTCTAATTAACTACTTAAATATACATATATTCATTCATTCCCATATATTCTAAAATAAAAAGCTTGATGTTATAAAAATATTTTTAACCATTATACTTGTTTATGGATTCATGTGTGATTCAGACACTCTGCAATTATGCAGATACATTTCACATCTATTTATGGCTTTGTGGTTTCCAAAATATGGCACATTGCAAACATAATATGGACTCTACACCACCAAAATATACATTGCATTAAAATATACACTCCACATATATTGTGTATTTACAAGAATTTGTTTATTTAAAACTCAATTCATCCACGTTCATTAATCACATGACTGGCACTTTCTAACAATCACAAACCGTTTAAAAAAAACTATTCTGTTTGAAATACCATTCTTTCATAACCATAATCCACTATTGTACACATTTCATATTTTTGAACGCAGAAAAAGACTCTCATGCAGATTTCTTTGTCACATGGATTCCTTTGAGTATTCTTTTGTGTTGTCGAAGGCAGTTTGGCAGTTTTCGTAACCATCTATGCTGCAATTACAGAGAGACCAGAGGAATTTGAGAGCTCTTTGTGGTTTCTCACCAGCTCACATCTCAGCATCCACTGACTGATCTTATCTGTATATATAGCACACACACACACACACACACACACAATTCCAGTGAAATATATGCCCTAACAGACATCACAAAAAAAAAAAAAATTTTTTTTAACTTTTTAAAATTCTCTCTAATCCCAATTAAAAACTGTTTGGATGGATATATACAAATTGTGATTTTCATTATTTATAAATAACTGACAGCACTAATTAACCTGTGATTTTAATAAAAAAATTGTGACTTGTTAAAATACTTCAAAAATATCTATTCTTTAGTAAGTTCAAGAAAGTTTTTTCCTTAAATAATTGTTTGTGCTATACAGTATGTGTTTGTGTGTGTTTATAATTAGTTTTAATAGTATGTTTAATTATTATGCTTATTTAATTTATTAATATTAAAAATAAATACTAATGACAAAAAAATTAGAAATTTGTGTCTGCCTCTGTAACAACACAATATTCCATTATACAGTATTGACGAGCGCTACTGCTTGTGTTTTTTCTGCCAGTCGAGGGGCTCTGTGATGGGATCCAGGCTGGTCTGGTGGATGTTGGGATATGGGTGGGCACTTGTGCCGACTACCCTCGTGGTGACGCATCTACAGGATGGAACTCTGTATCCAGGGTGATCATCGAAGAGCTTCCAAAATGAGCATCCCTTCTAACTGATCGCTGTCGCTGTCACCATGGCAATAGAAGACAGCGACATCATGTTCCTTTCACAGAAAGGACCTTCCTCATAGAAATTGGACAAATTAAAGCTAATAGTGTTGCTTTGAGTCTGTGCAACTCTCATGTATTAGATTATGATTCTCCGGCTCAGTTAAGAGGGATTCAGTATGCTCAATTTAGATAGTACAGACAATTAGAGAGGAATTATCATGTTAGTATTATGGTTCTTTGGAAAATACCATGATACAAATTTGAATGATGAAAAAGTACCTTTTACCATGTAAATTTTATGGTAAATGAATATGGTGTTGAAACAGTACCATGTTGTTACCCTAAGATGTCATCACTGTACCATGTTATTGCCATCATTTTTTTTACGTTGAGAGTCCAACAAGGATGATCCTTGCTTTGCTAATATTTATTTAGTGGTTCTTCTTTGTGCCTGGATGACTAGAACTCAACATATTTTTGTATCCATTGTGGGTTTTTTAAATGACCAAAAGCTATGAAGAAAAGTCATGGTCGTGTTTCACCTCACTATTAAAAAATGTAATTTGGAAACAAATCTCAATTTATTTAATGTAATATATTACTATTCAAAAGTTGTTTTTTAAAGAAATTAATACTTTTATTCAGCAAGGATACATTAAATTGATAAAAAAAAAATCAAATAATACTGAAAAATGTTATATGGTTTCCACAACAATTTGAAGCAGCACAATATTAACTGAATGATTTCTGAAGGATCATGTGACACTGAAGACTGGAGTAATGATGCTGAAAAATCAGCTTTGCCATCACATGAATAAATTACATTTTAAGATATTTCATATTATTTTTTATTACAACAATATTTCACAATATTACTGTTTTTAATGTATTCCTGATCAAATAAATGCAGCCACAAGGGCCTTCTTTCAAAAACGTTAAAAACCAAGGTAACACTTTACAATAAGTTTTCATTTGTTAACGTTAACTACAGTTAACATGAAGTAACAATGAACTGCACTTCTACAGCATTTTATCTCAACATTTACTTATACATTTTAAGATCCAAAGTTGTATCTATTAACATTAGCTAATGCACTGTGAACTAACATGAATATGAACATTTTTATTAACTGCTGTAAAAATATATTGCTCATTACACGTTTTGCTATTGCTATACCACCCCACCACCACCACACACAAAATATATATATAATATTATAATTATAATTTTAAGCATATATCATGGTATATATTTTGACTACAAAACCATTGGTTCTGATTTTGCATTATATTAATAAAAAATACGCTTAATTGACATTGATTAACCCGTTACGGTTACACCATATACACATTTTTCCACATATACATACAGTACATGTTAAAAAAATAAAACACATTTATACATATTAAACAGCTTGTTAATAAAACTAGTTGAGACCTGCTTGATAATTAGCTTAAAAATCTAATGAAAAAAGCTAAAAGCACCACATAAAATGGGGTGTAGATGGGAAAATGCAGTGAACTGCACTGTGTAGCATGACTAAGGCTTGGAATGTCTGGTGTGGTATTGAAGTAGTTTTGCAGCTGTTGTGCTGCTGAGAGTTCAATATAAAGAGAAATCAGAGTACTGTTAGTGCAGGTTAAGATACACAGACCCACAACATTATAGTAACTTAGAAATGTGACAATGACTGTCATTGCATTAGTCATTGCATTAAAAATGGCAAAAAAGACAATTAGTATTGTCTTTGACATTTTCTGGTTTTCAAGGATTAGTGGATCATGTTGATAGTTAATGATGCTGTGACACCAGTGTGCACTTGAGACCTGACTTGATACATTCACTAAAAAAACACCAAATGATTGAAAGTCAATAAAAAAATTTAAAAAACCTCAGACAACACTGAAAAAAAACAATAAGTAAAATGTACTTAAATTTTCTTTTTGCACGCATATTTTGTAAGTAAATTTCACATATTAAAGCTCCAGTCCTTAACTTTTTTGGGTTCAAAATTTGAGCAAGTACATAACCAGCCAGTGTTCAAAACTATCTGCTTGCCTTAGCTCGATTCAAAACGGTAAGCTTGTAATAATGTTTTTAAGTCCAGTGGTACTGGTGGATTTCCGCGGGAGATTCGAGCATGTCTTTGCGTCATTACGTCACATCTGTACACATAAAGAAGGAGTCTCGGCTAGAAGACTATATTGCGTGTGAGGATGTTGGAGGTGGAGATTTATAGCCTTTTCTCACAACACTTGATATAATTAAACGTATTTGATGGCGGATCCAGAAAGGTTGAAACGACAATCACCAGTAACAACAGATTCACCCGTTGTAAAATGCAAAAGAATTTGGACTGAGAGTTTGGAAAAAGAGACTGCAACCGGCCCATGCGAAAACAAGTATATTACAGGTCCTTCTAAAAAAATTAGCATATTGTGATAAAGTTAATTATTTTCCATAATGTAATGATAAAAATGAAACTTTCATATATTTTAGATTCATTGCACACCAACTGAAATATTTCAGGTCTTTTATTGTTTTAATACTGATGATTTTGGCATACAGTTAATGAAAACCCCAAATTCCTGTCTCAAAAAATTAGCATATCATGAAAAGGGTCTCTAAACGAGCTATTAACCTAATCATCTGAATCAACTAATTAACTCTAAACACCTGCAAAAGATTCCTGAGGCTTTTAAAAACTCCCAGCCTGTTTCATTACTCAAAACCGCAATCATGGGTAAGACTGCCGACCTGACTGCTGTCCAGAAGGCCATCATTGACACCCTCAAGCAAGAGGGTAAGACAGAAAGAAATTTCTGAACAAATAGGCTGTTCCCAGAGTGCTGTATCAAGGCACCTCAGTGGGAGGTCTGTGGGAAGGAAAAAGTGTGGCAAAAAACGCTGCACAACGAGAAGAGGTGACCGGACCCTGAGGAAGATTGGAAGGAAGGAAGATTGTGGAGAAGGACCGATTCCAGAGCTTGGGGGACCTGCAGAAGCAGTGGACTGAGTCTGGAGTAGAAACATCCAGAGCCACCGTGCACAGGCATGTGCAGGAAATGGGCTACAGGTGCCGCATTCCCCAGGTCAAGCCACTTTTGAACCAGAAACAGCGGCAGAAGCGCCTGACCTGGGCTACAGAGAAGCAGCACTGGACTGCTGCTCAATTTTGCATGTCATTCGGAAATCAAGGTGCCAGAGTCTGGAGGAAGACTGGGGAGAAGGAGATGCCAAAATGCCAGAAGTCCAGTGTCAAGTACCCACAGTCAGTGATGGTCTGGGGTGCCATGTCAGCTGCTGGTGTTGGTGCTCCGTGTTTTATCAAGGGCAGGGTCAATGCAGCTAGCTATCAGGAGATTTTGGAGCACTTCATGCTTCCATCTGCTGAAAAGCTTTATGGAGATGAAGATTTAATTTTTCGGCACGACCTGGCACCTGCTCACAGTGCCAAAACCACTGGTAAATGGTTTACTGACCATGGTATTACTGTCCTCAACTGGCCTGCCAACTCTCCTGACCTGAACCCCATAGAGAATCTGTGGGATATTGTGAAGAGAAAGTTGAGAGACGTAAGACCCAACACTCTGGATGAGCTTAAGGCAGCTATCGAAGCATCCTGGGCCTCCATAACACCTCAGCAGTGCCACAGCCGCATTGAAGCAGTCATTTCTGCAAAAGTATTCCCGACCAAGTATTGACTATTGAGTGCATAACTGAACATAATTATTTGAAGGTTGACTTTTTTTTATTTATTAAAAACACTTATTTTATTGGTCGGATGAAATATGCTAATTTTTTTAGACAGGAATTTTGGGTTCCCTTTCGTTGTCACTCCGAGTTCCGTCGGATGACGACGAATGGGGGTTTCGCTTAGAAAGCCTATCGACTTCGAGTATACAAAACGAGCCAATGGCAAACAAATGCCATGGGTCTGCGGAATATGCATGGCGCAACTCCGCCCCACCTCGTGGGGATAAAAGGAGAAAGCCGGCAATATGCAGATATGTTTTTGCTTCGGAGCCAAGATGTTCTCTTCACTCCTGCAGTCTATTCTCTGACTATCTTCGAGAATCTTCAAGACGAGCAGCTTCCAGTCGGTGTTGGTGTGATGGCGTGTTCCAGCGAGTTTCACATTCCTGCCTGCTGATCTGAACAGCTGTGTGCTTCTCCCTGGGCGCTTCACCACTGCTGCAAGCTTTTCTCACACAAAAAGAGTGTGCACGCGGCGCGTCTTTTTAAAGACGATCTGCCCGTGCATTTCTGAGTGCGGTAGTCTGATAGATTCAGCTGATGGGCACGAGCGCTGTTTTGACGTGTTTGGGCTTCGATCACGGTCGAACAGCGCTCGCGGATGCGTCACGTTCTCTACGGGGAACATGACCATCGCAATGACGGTCAAGACTCAATGAGCTCAACTGAGTGAGAGTCCCCTCATCCACACCCCGATCTATTTTTCTCCACGTGAGAGAATACTTTGGCTGGTGGCCAGGGTGACCTGAGATGGCTGGTGTGGAACTAAACCGCCGATTAATATCCGTGGTCCACACCCCTCTCTTTAACATTGCAACCCGCGCGGTTCTGAATGAGTTTGCTGGTCAGAGCCGCGTCCAGAGGACGCCGGCGGGCCGGCATCTCATTCAGTTCCCCGGCTGATGAAATCATGTCTATCGCCGCGTCACAAGGTGAGCTGGAGTCCTTTGGAAGTGAGGGCTCGTCTATGTTGCCACTCTCGGGTGTGCAACATAGCGAGTCTGATCCAGAGTTGACAGCTATGCTTCCCGGGCCGCCGCGAGTGTCGGGCATGTGTGGATTACTCTGCCATGTCTCGAGCACTCAAGGCTGATGATTGGTTTTGGGGAGGCAAACCCAAAATCCTTTCTACCCGGATGTGCATGAAGAGGTCATGAGATCGTGAGAGTCTCCTTTGACTTTCGCGACTGCTCAGCAGCCTCTTCCACCTTCTCTGCCCTCGAGAGGCCGTGGCCATGGGTACACTGGGGTTCCCCCCGTGGAGTGTTCTGTGGCAGCACATCTGTGCCCCCACAGCGCCTCCACCTGGCGTGGCGACCCTAAGCACCCCTCCAATGCCTGTAGGTTTTTTGTCTACTC